GGGTGCGCCTTCTCAATTTCGTCCAAGAGCACAACGTTGTACGGGTTGCGCCGGACGGGTTCCGTGAGCTGGCCGCCCTGGTCGTCGTAGCCCACATAGCCGGGCGGCGCGCCGAGCAGCTTCGAGACCGAGTGCTCTTCCATAAACTCCGACATGTCGATGCGCACCATGTGCTTCTCCGAATCAAAGAGCTGGAGCGCGAGTGCCTTGGCGAGCTCCGTCTTGCCGACGCCCGTGGGCCCGAGAAAGAGAAACGAGCCTGTCGGTTGGTCCTGGCGCGCCAGGCCCGCGCGCGACCGCAGCACGGCATCGCAGACCGCCTGGACAGCAGCGTCTTGGCCAATCACGCGCTCGTGGAGCCGCGCGCCGAGGTGCAAAAGGCGGTCACTCGTGCTTGTTGTGAGCTTGTCGAGCGGGATGCCGGTCCAGCGCGACACGACCTGCGCAATCTGGGCTTCGCGAACAACCTCCTCCACGAGCTTGTTGCTGCTGAACGCCGGGTCGGCGTCCTGCGCGGCCTTCTCCGCTTCGAGGCGCTGGATCGACTTGTGCACGTCGGGAATCGCATAGTATTTGAGGTCGGCCACTTGCGCGAGGTCCTGTCGGCGCTCGGCCTGGGCGACCTTGAGCTCGAGCTGCGCGAGCTTGTCCTTGAGGCGACGAATCTCCTCGACCTTGGCCTTCTCGGCTTGGTGCTGCAGTTTGAGTGGGTGCAGCTCGTCATGGACGGCCGCCAGCTCTTGGCGCACGAGCTTGAGACGATCTGTCGAGCGCGTGTCCTTCTCCTTGGCGAGCGCAGTCGCCTCAATCTGCAGCTGGAGCTGTTTGCGCTCGAGCGCGTCGATGATTTCGGGCTGCGAGTCGAGCTGGACGCGCACGTTGGCGCACGCTTCGTCGATGCAGTCGATGGCCTTGTCGGGCATGAAGCGCTGGGTAATGTACCGGTCGGCGAGCGTGGCCGCGGCGACGAGCGCGCCGTCCGTGATGCGCACGCCGTGGTGCGACTCGTTGCGCGCCTTGAGGCCACGGAGGATGCTGACCGTCTCGGGCACCGACGGCTCGGTGACGAGCACCTGCTGGAAGCGCCGCTCAAACGCCTTGTCCTTCTCGACGTACTTGCGGTACTCTTCCAACGTCGTAGCACCAATGCAGCGCAGCTCGCCGCGCGCGAGCATTGGCTTGAGCATGTTGGCCGCGTCCATGGCGCCGCTGGTCGCACCGGCGCCCAAAATCAAGTGCATCTCGTCGATGAACAAAATGACCTTGCCGTCGCTCGCCTGCACTTCCTGGAGCACGGCTTTGAGCCGCTCTTCAAACTCGCCGCGGTACTTGGCCCCGGCGACGAGCGCGCCCATGTCGAGCGAGTGGATCTGGCACGACGCCAGGAGGTTGGGGACGTCGCCGCTCACGATGCGGTGGGCGAGGCCTTCGACGATCGCCGTCTTGCCGACGCCGGGTTCGCCAATGAGCACCGGGTTGTTCTTGGTGCGTCGGCAAAGAATGCGCACGGTGCGGCGAATTTCTTCGTCGCGGCCAATCACGGGGTCGATCTTGCCCGCGGCCGCCAGCGCCACGAGGTTCTGGCCGTACTTGGCGAGCGCCTCGTAGTTGCCCTCGGCCGTGTTGCTCGTGACGGGCCGGCCGCCGCGAATGCCGTCGTTGATCGTGCCGACTTGACTCTGGCTCAATTTGTGACGCTGGAAAAGCGCTGCGACCGCCGGGCACGTAAAGAGCGCGAGCAAGAGATGGTCGACCGCCATGTGCGTGTCTCCCTTGTCCTTGCGCTGCTTGACGGCGGCCTTGAGAACCTTGGTCAGTGCCGAGTCGATGCTAATGTGATCGGGCGCCGGCGACTGTGTCGGGAGCTTCTGAAGATGCGTCGTGATATCGTTGAGGATCGCAGTGGCGTCGGCCTGCGCCTTCTCGGCTACGCGTCGGGCAAGGCTGTCGCTGTCGTTGAAGAGAGCGTACGCGACGTGCATGGGCGTGACTTGGGCGTGGCCATGCTCTTCCGCATACGCCTCGGCGTCCTTGAGGTACGCGTTGGTCTTGTCGGTGAATTCGGTCGGGTTGAGGCTCATGTGCTCGAGTGAGATGAAAATCGGAAATGCCCGATCTTCCCGTTGCCCTTGCGTCGAGTTGCCAGACAATTCCAGAACGTCGAGAAAGTGCGATCGTACTTGCGAGAGTCTATCTAAAAACAATATGCAAATTTGGACAAGCGCACTTTATCGGGCGCAACGGTTTCACCGTTGAGTGCGCTTGTCTGTGGCGCCGCCACGTTTTTGAAAACTCGCAAAACCTCGGTGTCCCCTCGTGCACGCTGTGAGCTCATGCTGTTGTGCGATTCTGCCATGTGGAAGGTGTGGGACGGTGATTCTCTTCAAAAGTGATCTCTGCTTCAGCTTGACGCGTCAGAGAGGATCGAGCAGCGATATCCGTATGTCGTGCTGTGACTTGGGCGGTTTCCAAGGGCGCCTCGTGCTACGTGCGAACAGTGCACTGCCAAGTTGCATAGAAAATCGTGCAGTAGTACGCTCGCATCGCTTCCGGCGACTCCCGAATCGTTCCAACGCTGTGTCTGGCAATCAATCGATTTCAGCAATAATCCGATGAAGCCGGATACAAAAGATATCATCCGGAACGATCGATGAGCAAGCTCTGGGCGTCCACGGACGAGGCCGACTGGGCTGCTATCCATGCGACGTACGACAACGTCGCTGCGAGCCTCGAGGTGCAACCTGCGTCCATCGGCCTCAGGATGAGAGCCCATGCGCGTAGGAGCCGCTGCGGTCGCTGGAGGCTTGGTATCGCGCCGAGTTGCCCGAGCTGCTCATTACCCAAGGCCACATCACGCAGGCCCAGCTCTCCAAACTCATGCAGTGGAAGCTCGCCAAAGGCAAATGGTACACACGCGTATGTATACTGTTGAAATAACGCCGGTTGTAGGCGACCTCGCTTGCAGGCGTTTGTCGATGCGCTTGACGACGCCGAGGTCCAAGCAGCGTCCACGAAAGGCTTTGCAGCTGTGAACGACGGCAACGTCAGGGAAGCGGTGGCAGCCATCTCCGAACTCAAGGGCGTACGAAACTACTAACGACACTACGTTGCTATCGTGCACCTTAGGTCGGGCCTGCGACGGCCTCGGCCGTGCTCGCTGCATACTCTCGATCCGTCGCCTTTATGGGCGACGAAGCCCTCAACGCGATGACGAGTACGCACCATGATGCATGATGACATGGAACGACGTTGTTTCCTTGCGCTAGAGGCCATTGGCGCTCGCCAGTACACGCTGCCCCATTTCGTGCGGTTCACCGAGGCGTTGCGGGCGAGAGCGACCGTCCTCGGCGGCGCATGGACACCGCAGGCGCTACAAGAGGCGCTCTGGCTCGAGGCGACTGCATCCGAAGCGACGCCCAAGCGCAAGCGGTCGCCAGCAGCGGCCACCGGCAGCAAGAAAAAGACCAAGAAGACAGCGGCGTAGACAACGATATTAAAAGCCCGACTCGTTAAAGGCTGCGGCGCCGACAAACGAAAAGCCAGAGAAATTGCTACCTGACTTTTCGGTCGACGACTGCGGCTGCCACGACGACGCGTTGCTGCTGTGCTGGCTCGATGAGTTGTACGAGGTGGTCGCCGTGCTGTCGGTCACAGTCTCCTGCGTGAACTGGTCCATAAAGTTGCTCACGTCGTCGTCGCTCGCAATGTGCGGCATGTACTCCATCGAATATTCCTTCGCTGC